ATTTAAAGCAGGCAAAGCAAAAAAAAGCAGAGAAGCAAAAAAGCAGAGAAGCAAAGAAACAGGAAACGCACAAAAGCAAAACAGCAGAAAGGCAAAGAAGCAGGAAAAGCAGAGCAGGAAAAGCAGGAAAAGCAGAGAAGCAAAGAAACAGGAAAAACAGAAAAGCAAAAAAGCAGAAAAGCAGAGAAGCAGAGAAGCAGAAAAGCAAAAAAACAGAAAAGGCGAGAAGCAGGAGAAGCAGAAAAGCAAAAAAGCAGAAAAGCAGAGAAGCAGGAAAAGCAGGAAAAGCAGGAAAAGCAGGAAAAGCAGGAAAAGCAGAGAAGCAGGAAAAGCAGGAAAAGCAGGAAAAGCAGAGAAGCAGGAATCCAAAAATAATTCCTAAACCTGATCAAAAAAAAAACTAAAATAATTAGCGCTCCAAACAGTATTATATAGATACGGCTAGAGAGAAGTAGTTCGACAGGATTAGATAGACATGACAAGATAGACAGGATGGATAGGATAAGATAGATGGATAAGATAGATAGGTATCTACCGCCGACCCACTGAAATATAGCATGTGACATGGAGATGCATTATAGGCTAACACATGCCCGCCACATTCTGACTTAATTTTGCATACTGTTCGGGCATCCTATGTGTTAGTCCTTCACTATAGATAGATATACTCACAACATACATTACATGGAATATATCATTGGTACTACATATTATATATATATTGCATATGTTATTATTATTATTATTAATATTGATTACAGTACATATTATTACAAATGGGGGGTTCTATACATGGGGGTACCCCAAATCATCAATTTTGATGGGTTTTTGCATCATAAACCATCCATTTCGGGGTACCCCCATTTATGGACACCCCCATATAGATTTGAAACATGTTGAAACCATCAGCCAGTGACAGCATTGGGTTCCAGTCCTTGTTGAGCAAGGCATCATCGATGGGAACCTCACCAAACCTTGGCAGCCAGGCAAACCAGGTAGGGGACGTAAATGCCGTAAATGCCGTAAATTCGTAAATGAGGATATCTGACAGCACAAACAGCGCTGAATCAGCTTGGCTTCTAGCTCATTTTCAATGACGGCAATCTTTTTCTCCTTTTGTTCCTGTCCGTGAAACCATTTGACCGTGAACCATGCCCAGACATCTCACTGTACAGGTGGATTCTGATTCCGTGACCAGTCGCCTGCAGAATGTAATTCAGCAAGGTGGTCTTGCCGGCGCCTAAAAACCCGGTCAAAATTGTGACCTCAGCAAGACAGGAATCCGTCCACTGGCCTCTCTTCGCACCCTGCATTAAGGAGCGATGCAGATGGCAGGGCCCGGCCAGAGCTTGTCCAAATATATCCCCAGCATGGAACATCACAGGACAAGCATAAAAGAATCAGTTTCAGCGTTTCAGATTGACCCTATTTGTAAAGCAAACTGAAACCCAGAGTAGGGGGTCTGCTCTCATGTAAACAAATGTTCTCATCAGTCAGGTGACTAGAGAGACGAACTAGAGCTTTCAAAACTCAAAACACAATGTTTATCCATTTTAGGTTCACAACAAAGTCCAAGGACTACACTGGCAATTTCTTCTCCTCTGGGATATGAGGCAAGTCCCTCAGCACCATCCAAATGATTCCGATTTGTGAGAGGCAGTTCAAGGCATTTCAAGGGACCACTTCGTCACTTGGTTCCTTTCAGATTTGAAGGAAAAGCCACCTCCGCACGTCAAGCTCATTAGGTTTATGTAGTTTCTACGTGTTTCGACCAAGGAATATCAGGAATATATGCAAAGGGATTCTGCAACATGTCCCCTCAACCAATCAGTTTCCAAGACAAGGAGGATGTTGAGCATGTTGGATTTGAGGCACAGGCTTCGGTGCAGACATGATGTCGCCATGAATGCCGAAGGTGTCCCTGGTTGGAAGGCTGAGGTGCAAACATCGACTGGATGTTTCCCTATGATGTAGATGCTGATGTCTAAAATATGTTTGAAGCCCGAGAACTATCCAAGATGATCAGCGCAGTAGGGAACAATTGAAGGGATCTTGAGTGAGCTGCAGTTATCATCTACAGTAGCATCGGGTTCGAAAACCCAAATGGGAGGTACGAGGAGGTAGGTAGTGCCAAATAATAGAAACCATATCCCAAGGGCCCCCAAACAGCACCATGGCAAGGCATGTCTGATGCTAGGCCGCTGCACCCAGTGATAAAGTGCTCCTTGATGAAATCTCCAGGGTTCAAGGCCTCAACGAATCAGTTGCAACTTTTGGAAGGCGACAAACAACACAACGTCTGAAAGCCACAAACAACGCCAACCAGCACCATGGTCTTGATGATGTCTTGATATATCACCCAGCATTTGCGTGTTCTTCTCGTAGTGTGCCAGATTCTTTCTTTGCAAATATGTCCACTGGTGACATGTAGCGTATTCTCTTTGCTGCACGATTCAACTAATGCGTGCGAAAGCTTAACAGTAAGTGAGTCCCAGATGAAGCAAAACGGGGGAAGCATTCGCGAAACATAGAAGGGCTTACCATCCCACTCTGAGGATTTGCCCACATCGTGCACCAGAAATCCCTTGCCTTCTTGTTGTTCTTGGTATTCCACATCACCTGCCAGCATCAGCCAACGGCTAAATCCATAGTTCTCTCTCTCTCTCTCTCTCTTTCTCGCTCTCCCTTTCTCTCTACACATAATCCATACATATATTACACAATGAAAATACAAAAATATGAGTGTGTTTATATTGATAATACATCATCTTTATTATATATATATAATTATTTAAATATATATATACACATGGGCAAAACTCGCAAACGTGAAATATAAGGCGTTTAGCTCATGATTCCCCTTCTCATCATCCATGGCGAGGTCGCTGTGATGTTCTGTATAATCAAGTTTACCCAAACATATCATATAAACTCTGTAGACTGTAGATAATTCCTCAGGGTCGATGAAAGGCACTTTGTGGGCATCAAACTGACCAGCATCATCTATGTGGAATAGTGGAATCAATGTTTTTCCCAGTCAGATAGATTGGGTTTAACGACTCCCCAGCCTGAATCTGGAAGGACACAGGCTCATTTTTCTCCCGGCTAACATCCTCCACGAATTCCTGGTATCATGCGCCAAGAAAGCTCATGACCTGAGCACCTCTTGAAAGTTGGAGACCAACAATGACTAGTTGGTGGTTTCAATGGCTTCAACTCAGAACCCATCCGAACAAATAACGTCAGTTGGGTCATCGCAGATCATCGCAGGATGGACACCACCAACCTCATAAGCTTGGGTTTCAAGAACCAGCATGAGATGGGATCTTTCGCGCTGTTGTTGGTGATCAAATTCACTTCAACCCCAAAAGCCAGGAAAGAAAAGCCATGCAAATGTTGTTCTTCAACACCAAATAAACAAGAGTTACAGGTGTCAGCCATGTCCCATTCCTGACCATGTGCATATGCTGCCGGTAAAAAATGTTGACCCTAACAGCCACGATATGGATCGACATGGCAGTATCGCCTCCACCTTCTCCATGAGTTCCATGACAGTAGCATCCGGAGCAATGGAAAAGGGATATTCCTGGCATCACCGAACCACGGCTCTGGGGATCCACGGGACCAGTTGGACGATTTCTGCGATTTCTTGAGGCATGCATGAATCTATCATAGAATCTATCCAACATTATCCAACATTATCCAACATTATCCAACTTTGAGACATTTTAACTGCGGTATCAAACGAAGGGAGAGAGATTGATGGGCACCCATGTACTGTATACTATATACGTATGTAATATGTATTTTATTTCTCTATATACTCTGCAACATCTGTGTGCCTTCGTTTGCAAAAGTTGGTATATATATATATATACATGAATCTGGTTGTGATTGCTGCCATGAACTCACATTCCACTGGAGCGGATTTGCAGGTACCTCTAGCCCGCAGAGACGGACAAATAGTTTGCACCCGCGTATTGGGTCATCTCAGGTCGTCTGAACACATCCTTGATCATCTTTGTACATATGCATGCCCTGTGCATGTCTTTCAGAAACTTTCAAACTCGTTCCAGTGTTAGTTGTAGCTATAGAAAGTATAGGAAGCATCACGAGAATGTTGAAGCACCAAGCCCCTGCCTTAAATGGGATTTCAGCAATTGGCTTTGGAAGCTTCATGGAAGGATGCGCGAAGCATACCAAGGACTCAGTGTGGAATCGGGGTGTCAATGGTTTTATAATTGTGGACAAAGGTTGCATACCGCTGGATCTCATTGGGATGTCAGAATCTGTCAGAATATATCAAATATCAATAGATATCATGCGTTATTGAATGTTATTGAATGTTATTGACAACTCTTTGACTGACTTTGACTGGAAAGCATTAAAAAAGATCAACGACATCTCAATGACTGTGCTCCATGGCTGGGGTCCGGGACGAGATCGGCCATTGGCTGGAGCCAAGGCAGGCTGTACAGACCACTCGCTTGATGGCACCAAGGCCGCAAAACGCTGCAAAACGCTGCAAAATGCCAAGAAAATGAATCAACATGAATCAACATAGCCGCTGACATAGCCTGAGTTGGAGGAACTCTATGTCTTAGGGTCTGGAAAGCATGAAAGAATCACAGAAACTTCGCCAAATCTTTCTGCAGAGCAGCTCACATTAAAGTAGTCAAAAGCACAACCTCATTGCCAGTTTCTTTCGAAATTCCAAAATAAAAGTCACAAAAGGGATCATATGTGACTTCATATGTGTGCATGCCAAATCTTTCTGCGTGTTTTTCGCTTCCCATTCAAACAGAAACGACCGGTTTTTTCTCCACGATCGCGGCACATTGAACGCCTCCGCACATCGCTCGTCGAGCTTTTCACTCGGCGGTCCCTTGACCTCGTGGAGTTGGAATGATTTGACTATATATAGGGAAATATCATGGAAATATATCATATAGTGTAATATTGTATAATCATATTTGCGGTTCCATAAAGGGGGATCCACAAAATGGATGGTTTATAAATGTTTATAATAGAAAATCCTGTTAAAATGATACCCCCATTTACAGAAACCGCCATATATTGGGGTGATGGTAATGACAATGAAGGTAAAAAAAGTGCCATCCTATGTTGTTTTTCTCTAAAATATTGGTATTATTAGATGGGGAATAGTTAATGACCGTTCCAATGTTGTCAGACATGGTTGTAATATGTTGTAATTGGAAGCCATTATCGGCCTTACCAGTTTACCACATTAGGATTGTTGGCTGAAGTTGTGTGATTGTGCCGGTGTGTTGTCAGGTTGAACGACCCCAACGACCATCTGATGGTTCTCCCAAATTCAGAGGCAGACCGTGAAACTGGCGTCATGACTTCGAGATTCTCAATATGTCAGAAGTTCAGAACGAACTCCCTGATACTGTATGTGTATATATATATTATGCAATTTCAACTCCGAGCATGTTGCGTGTACCAAACAAATCCAAAAAACATCAAAGACAGAGATGCCTCAGAATCTCTGGCATCAGGAAGTAGTCTTTGAACCTTCTGATTTCTCAACCATGTGATTTGTCAACCTCAGTGGCAAAAAAAGCAAATTCTGGCGCAGTTGGGCACGCTGGAAACCACGGCCAGTCCATTGGCAACAATATCCAAGAAATCCGGCCACAAACTGCTGCTTTGTGCATCTGTTACTACCAACATCTACCAACTTATATACACTATATTCCAGCCATGAGACACCCATCAATTCGCTCATTCTCTTCTGCATCTGCAGGGTAGTACTGGCGAACTCCTTCGAGGCGAATAGGAAGCTGAGGACTCCATTGTTCGTGGCTTAAAACTGACAACTCCTGGGATAAGTTGCAGGGGAATGTCAACGTCATAGCTTTCCCCAGAATGAACAGCGTCGTTTGCTCGGCTCAGTCCTTATCAGTTGCCAACACTTCCTTGGTTCCAATTCTCAGAAGACCATAGTGCAATTGGGATGCTCAATGTTTTGGAGTGTCACAGTGTCGCAGAAAAATTGTCACCGATTGTCTTAGCCACTTGTATCTGCGCAAAAGGATACTTAGAACCTTCGCCTAAAATGGCACTGCAAGTCATGTCAACATAATCTCAATATAATCTCAAATCAAATTACATGATATCATCATCTTTAACCAAGATATACAGATATACCGAGATCATCTCACACTTTTCCAGACTTTACCATGTTTCTTCACCGCACGTTCCCCCTGCGGTAGGCGTTTGCTCCGCTGCTCCAAGGTGCGTGGTGCCGCATCACCGCATGCTCGATGTCCTCGGAGGTGAGGCCAAACTTCTCTTCGACCTGGCTTCGGAACCACCGGGCCACTGGTTTCATCAAGATCACTTAAATTCACTTATATATATAATATATTATAATATTATTTATATAATCATCTTAATCTCTTTTTATCTCTTGTAGGCATTGTATGGAATTGTATGGAATTGTATTGAATTGTATGTGTAGTAGTCTAGTATATTCTACTATATTGTGTATGTTAAGAAATTGTTAGTTTTAAATCAATGAAGTTATGATTTGTATTGATTTATGATGTACTTCATTCTACTTCATTCTACTTCTGTATTTTTGAAAAAATGTTTTTTTCTACACCCCACAAATGCATCCCCATCGCGCCGCGCCCAGTCCTTGGCACCCACCAGAGATTGTGCGGTTAAGGTAACCGTCTTGGGGTCGTAGGACTGGCCCAGCAGCACGACCCGGTGATCTTCAGACTGTGATCCGCCACTTCGCAGCTGGAATTCGCTGGAAATTGCATGGCAAATTGGATGATCATGGAATATGGAAATATGGAGGACATGTCAATTTCAACCAAGCCAAGACTACGATTTTGTTCGGCCTCGCGGTCTGACTTGGTCTTGAACTGCTTGACAAGCTTCTCAACTTCCTGCACACTGTGAAGATGTCTGATGTGTGAAGGGGTCCAAACCTGCCATCCAACTGGGGTCTCACTTGATCCGCCAGAAACTGTGACCGTTGCAAGGACAAGCAGACTATTTCTGTGAGTGTAGGATCAAAGAAGGGAACGCGCAACTCTCAAATGTCAAAGGCTTTTACTTGGTGTCACACCTTGGTATTTTCTGCAAATTCACAGTCGCAAAATCATACTCCCTGTCCTCAAGCATGTACTTGTGCACTTCAATGATTTGTTCGCTTGACGCCACAACAGCCTCCGCACAAATCTGGTCAAGGAAGCTTGCGTTCGTCTATACTGAAGTTTTCGTGGCTAGTTCATAGGTTGGAAGTCTTCAATTGCAATGTCTTGCTTTGAACTTGACAACCAAAATCCCCATATAATCCATATATTCCCATGGATTCTGATGACTTGCAAGGCGCCTGCGGGGCCACATGTGGATTCTGCAGGGTCACCAATTGCTGGACACCTTCCTTCACCTGCGAAGGTGGTTGAAGGATGAGCCGGTAGGGGAGATGTGAAAAAATAATAAACATTATATAATAAACAATTAATACACCACAAAACAAACAAAACAAACAAAACAAAGAACTCTTAAGATTTAAGATGACTTAAGACGCTACTTTAATCACTAGCCGTTCAATTTCAACACAAATCAGCCAATGCAATTGTTGAGTGCTGCTTTGCAATCCTGAGATCCCAAAACCTCCTGTTAAACTGTGCCGAAGACAACTCTACCAGTCTTTCCGACTCCCCGCCTTCGGATCGTTGATGTGTTTGTCCAGGTAACTGTCAAACTCTGCAATCGTCAGGCCATTCCTGGGATGTTCATTTCAAAGGGCGACCAGAAACCGTGCGACGGTTTGTAGAATTTCAACCTGTTCCAACTAGGCATCCCAACTTCTGTAGGGGATCTTCGGGCCTGTCATGCTACATGCTATACAGTAGAAGATTTGAAGCACTTGCGTTTTGTTCAGCAAGTCAATGGACATGAATGCATTTTCTTGCGCAAACAGCAGGAGAACGCCCTATAGGTATGGCTTTGCACAGTCGTCGTCATTTTAAACAACTGCCGGGAGTTCTGCACCCCCTTCAACAACTTGTAGGTCTCATCAAAATCAAGCTTCCTCAGCGGATATAGTGGCTACATGTGGCTACAAGTTCCAACCATGCAGAAGCTTTATTTCATCAGAAACCGCGAATCAATGCTCAAACATGCTCAAACTGTCTTTCCCCTTCATCAGTCTGGCCGGCGTTCTTGAAACATTTGATGGAAAACCTACACAATCTGCTGATCCCTTAAATCTTTGAGGCGCTGGCTTTGTTCGCACAACAGGTGCGAGGTTCTTCATGTGGTACTGGTGGGGTGGCTTGCAATCCAGGAAGTGCAGCTTTTAAGAAAGCATGCATCAAGTGGGCATGGGTCAGGCGTTGCACAAAGGAGAATCAGCAATAAAACTGAACCTGTATTACTGCCAAAGGAGTGTTTTTTGTTTACAAAATGAGATGTCAATGATCCAGATTTAGGAAAAGAGCATTGATATATTGATTGAATTCGATTAACAAAATTGGGTGTCTTGTAGTTGCGTATCAGCAGTCTGTGATTCAAAAAATCAGCATGTCCAACAACTCCTTGCTGCTCTACCATCGCCCTTGTTGCCAAGAAATCCAAGTTCTGCAAACATGTTCAGACATATTATGACATACTCCAAAGATCTCTCAGTAGAATATGTAGAAATATGTAGAATATATACCATAACAGATAATAATCCATAATACACCAACTGACACCAATATCCATCATTCATTGCATGCGTTGCATGGGATGCTTCATGGCTCTCGACATCTCTCGACATCTCTCGACATCTCTCGACATCTCTCGACGGTCCAGCATCAACTCTTGCGACTTGATCATTTCCGCCAGAAGCTTCTGCACCTGGTCAGCTCAATCCACTTCACAGAGCTGGTGATGTTCATCAATGCTGGTGATCTTCATCCAAAATAGCCTCTGGGAATTTAACATAACTATGGAAAATCACCATGTATAGGTAAATCATGGTAAGTCATGGTAAATCATCTAATGGGCCATGTTCAATAGCTATGTTATGCTGCCGGCCTTGGCCAGCTCGGCTTCAGGATTGGCCTCCGCTGTCAAATTTGGGTTCAAGTCATGACAAGTCTAAGGGCATTAATGGGGAAATAGATGAAATAGGGGAAAATGATGGGAAAACCCATGGAATTTCGGAATCTCCGATTTTTTCAGACAAACCCATGTTGTAAAAAACTTGTTGCCGTCGAACTGACTGCACATATCCAGAGATCTCTTGCGCCATTGATCTGTCAGAAGACTCAAAAAGGACAGTTGAATTTGTTGTACACACCCGTACGGTATCGTACAAAACTGTCTAACGATATCTAACAGTCTCTCCAAGTTTCAAGTGATATAGTCTGGTAATGTCTGGTATATCATGGTATGTCTGACCTCTATTGACGTAGTGTCACAGACACCAAACCTGTGCAACCAAAGCTGGCACCTTCTCATCGATCTCATCGCCTGGTAGCCTTCATGGCAGTGGCAACGCCACATCGTGGCAACTGGTTGGCGCTTAACATTCGAACTGATCTCAACTGTCCAAGTTCCAGCATCAATGTCCAACTTCCAAGAGTTTGATGTAAGAGAAACAACTATATACAAGAAACATCAAGGTTAACATGTTTCACATGGAATCTGGGTGCTTCTTTTCTGGAAATTCGACGCTTCTCCCTTGAATCAATGGGAAACTTCCAAGGAATGACCTTCCACTGGGTCTCCCAACTGCTTGGTATCCTGTTCTTCTCGGAGGAGATAATAGAGGACACATCCGGCGCCTTCGGTGTACAGCTGGGTATGGGTCGTGTTTTGCTTTTATCCATTTAAGGCTTAAGGTTTATAAAATGCTATAAACACATACGGAAAAAAGAGCTAATTATATAGTTAGCCATAGTATACCATAGTATACAGTATACAGTATACAGTATACCATAGTTAACCCATTTATGGTACTGGGTTGACCCACGGTTTCACCCATCGCTGGTCGCCTGCTGCACCAGCCACCAAAAGGGCCTTCTTCCATCCCTCCATGAGATCGCCTCCGCGGATTCCCATTTTTCAGGCACCGCAGTGCAAAAAACCGGCCCCTCAAAATCATCGCTTGAGAAGGCGAGACAAGCTTGGAGAAATCGCTTCAGCACATGTGTTCCGGGTTCAATTCTTGGATCTTTGTTCATTCTTGAGGAAGCAAGCGATGACTTTTCCAACATCCTTTCCCAACCCCAGCTTTACAGCTCTCCATCCTGGCCTTAGCCGTACGTCACGGCTCAACAAAAGCACTTTTTGAGCCACATGTGCCCAGCATTGCCAAAGTACATCTCTCTTTTTCAAGCCGTGACTCGCAGAGTTTGAAACAGTAGACTGCAGGTTCCTAGCCTGTCAAGCATCCTCAACACTGTTGTCAACATATTATATGAACCATAGGTTTTACGTTCTAGCACCAGGTGGTTCAAAGCAGCTTTCGCCTTTTGCTGGGATACTCTCACATATGCGACCTTTTTTTAAGCCCTGGGTCAGATTGCTGACTTTCAGTGCAACCCGCAAGGTTGAAACAGTGGAAACCACACATCTCAACCTGGATTCATCAATCACGTTAACATCCGGCACTCATGTACAGCAGAGATTCATGAAGCTGCCCCAGTTGTCCCGGCTGTCCGAAACGCTCGCAACTGCCGCAGACACCGTCGTAGCTGGTGCGTTCTGGTCGCATGCGCAGCTGCTGCAAATCCCAAAGGAGTCGAAGAGCTCTTGGCCAAAAGCTCTGCAAAGCACCTCACTCGGTCAAATAGCTCTACCTATTCTCTCTAAGCCTCAAGACTCTGGCTTGGGATTTGGTTGAAGCGTCTTGAAACATCTGAAAACATAACAAAAACATACAACAATGCAACAAAGAAAGCTGCATGAACACTTCATCACCTGTTCAGCAGTCTTTTTGGTGAGGCACTGATTGCACTGTTGTACGACACAGCATTACAAGCTTTTGGAAGGAGCGAAAGCGCAGCCTGCAGCCAACTGAGGACTCCCAAGAAACGCACAGTTGAAGACCCAGTGCCCAGTGTGTTCTTTACATCTCGTATTATGGGCTTCCTCCAAACAATGAAAATCATTGATTCATGGGCAAGCGTTGTCGACAAAGTACAATTTTCATCATAAGCGCTAGGTTTTGTAGGCTGTATCTGAGAAATTTGAAATGAATAGCAAGCGAGGACTGTATCTAGAATGCCTTCTATACACCAAATCAATACTACATTCAATCATCTGTCCTCTCCACCACGGATTGAAAATTCTGCAGTGGAAAAATAGCCGTGAATTCATGCTTTGCTTCGGTATGAACTTCTGCCCTGGTTCAGCTGCTCAGATTACACATTCATTACCCCCAGTCAGCCCAGTGGTCACATTTCGCTGAAGCCTCCCATCTCGTAGCTTTCTCAAAGCCACTGATTACACTGCTGTAGCTGATCTCATTCGGCTGTGAACTCATCAGGCTTAGGGTGCCTTGGTTTCTACGAAGCGATGACCCAAAAGTTAAAGTCCCTCAGGCTCTCGAATGATTCTTTTCATTGCTTGCTTGTATGTCTGACATGGTTGACCCAAACGTCGACAAACGTACTTGGAAAGGTAAACAGCCACAGCACCCGGGTAGTTCGGGTATGTGGCAAATCATTCTGACATTGAGGATACTGAGGAGATGGGACATTCAGTGTCAGAGTGTGACCTTTCATTGATTTTCAGTGCAAGTTACCTATAGCTGCCCGCCAGTTTGCTTCTGAATTGGCACTGATGACGCTGTTGTAGCTAATTTCAGATGGGAGCACTTGCAACCCTGGCATTGTGACCAGCCTCAGAGCAAGCAAGACACATGTTTTCATAGCTTTTCAGTGTCGCATGTGTGAAGTCCGCACTTCTTCATTCCCCCGTCCATTCCCTCAAATGCCACGAAACAAGTTGGATGCCAACTGCCATTCTCCACCACGTTCACAGGCACTGATGGTACTGTTGTAGCTGATGACATCATGTGGAGCGCGCTGCTTTTGCATAGCTGCTAAAAAGTGGCTGGCCTGCATCTCAATCCCCACCCTGTGCTTTTTGGGGCTTTTGGAGGCACAAGTTTTATGATGACGTACTAGATTTGAATTATGTTAGAAAATAGATCTGCATCGCCCATGTATATAGCATTGTAAAGCTGCTACAGTAGCATGATGTCTGGATGGTTCAGCAAAGAGCTTGAAGGATGTGCCCACCTGCCCACCTGCCCACCTGCCCAGCCTGCTGCCACTGTTGACCTTTGCTGAAGGAACTAATTGTCCCATTGGAAGTCACTTCATCCGTGGTCTTTGTTCCAGTCGAATACATCAAGTCCAACAAGAAGACAGAGATCTGCCACTGTTCTGCTTTCTCGCAAGCGCTGATCGCGCTGCTGTAAATGAATTCATTGGCAGAAATCTTCTTGGAAGTCATTTCCTCAAAAAGGATGAGGGCTCGCTGCCACTGGTTTGCCTTTTCACAGGCGTTAATCGCGCTGCTGTAGATAAATTCGTTTCCTCCCCAATCTTTACTCTGTACATCTTGTACATCATCGAGAAGTCTAAGAACAACTTGCCATTGACTGTCATTTGCACAGGCATTGATGGCGCTGCTGTAGCTTCTCTTGTTTGGAAATGAGAGGCTTCCAGTGAGGTTGCAATGCAAAATTGCCAAGCCAGCTTGCCAGCAATCCACAGAAGCGTGAACAACACAATTCAGGACAATCTCCTGAGCCACCACCAAACCCTTCTGGAGCGGCTCAAACTACCCACCTATGGTAGAGATGCCAAAGTTGGATTGGTGAACCTTTGAACCCAAGGGGCAACAAAGGCTTCTAGACTTGCGTGGCTTAGTTCAACCGGGCGTCATTCGGAAGCAGCTGGATCATGAGCATGTTGTGCAAAAGCTGTAGCCCAAGTGACCATCGGACAGCGCAGCTTCCTCAGAAGCTGCCCCAGAAGGGACAGAAGCTGCTCCAAAACTCAATCCAATTCCTAATTATGACACCGAACCATACCGAACCAGGGTTTCTGCGGGTAGTAGTGGATTGAACACCCTGAGTCTTGAATGCAAAGAGCGTTGTGTGCTTTTGGTACTTGCTTCAACTGTCTCAACCCTGCGTTTCCTTTGACACAGAAGCAATTCAAACAGGTTACGAAGACCATGGTTGCATGCTCGACTCTGAAGATTGCCTTTAGTTGATCAACCATCATTCACGTGTTCAAAAATAACACGCACGCTGGCAGGTCTTGCGAACACTTCTGCACACAAACTGGTCGTGCCGAATGGTCGCTTCCATCCTCAAGCCTTGCCCCGGCTCGTTGGTAATCCCATCTCAAACAAGGCGCTGATGGCACTGCTGTAGGAGATGACATTGGAGCTAACCCGGGCCATTGGCATCTCCTTGTTCAGCTTGAAGACACGATTTTCAGGAATGAAATGATGGTTTCAAGCCCCGGAAAAAAATTGGTCATGAGAGAGTGCAAACATGTTGAAGCCAGAGACGAGGTTTGAACTGCGATTGGCCCTTGCTAAGCTTTAAGATGGACACTGTTTGTTGTCGACTTCAGTTGAGAACAACAAAGTCTGAAATGGTTTCGAACTTGAAGAGTAATTTATTTAATATAGGCACCTTTAGAATGCTCAAAGTCTTGGATTCAAAGCTAGATGTTGGTGTTGTGAAAGTGTTTAAATATTCTATGAACATTCATGAGACCGGCACGTGATTCCATGGACTGTAACAACAATGCCGTGCAACAAAGAATGGCTTGATTGATGGGCCAATTATAATAAAGGGACAAATCGGTGTCGCTCCAAAAACCATGCTGCCTTTGTATGCCTTTGTATGCCTTTGTTATCCTTTGTGCAACCAAGTTGACCATTGAGCAACGGATCTTCGTCCGAGTTGGCAGGCTGCCATCAAACATATTCTGCGACCCCTTGCACTTTTCTTATAATTCAGAACCTTTGGGCATGCTCAATAGCTGTTGAAAGCGATTGATAATGCAGTATCTAAATGCAATTCTCGAGGACAATCAGTCTCACATGTTTTGGGGAATTGAGGTGGGCAAGGGCAGTTCAAAATGTTATAGTCTGCATGGTCCCATTTCATGATATCTACTAGAAGCAGCGTCATTGTATGTGTATGCGTTCAAATACAGTGCTTCAAATGTGTAAATATGTATATATAATATATTATATGATTATATGTATATAATTGTATATAAAGATATGTGCATACATATGTGTGTGTGTGATTATGTAATATGTGTAGAATATGTATAATGTAGAATATAATACTAACGGCGTTGAGCCGATTTGGACAAAACATGGAGTTGCAATCCGCCCTGTATTCTTAGATTTTCAGTTTTGCAATATATTTGCTGCAAATTTATTACATAAGCTGAAATCTTAATCAGATATCGTTTTCAAGAGCCGAATTGGAAAACTCATGGATTTTCAACCCCTACAGGTGCTACGCATCTTGGAAAGCTATGCCACAAATACATACAAATACCAAACTGTGTTCCTGGCACCCGGATTGTTGCCAGCCTTTGGTCACGGAAAAGGACCTGGTTTGAGACTGCCTTGAAAAAACACATTGAATATCTTCATATATATGCCGCCATTTTTTGAAATATTTTGTGATGTAGCTAGATTTCATCAGAAAATCTATCAACTATCCAAACCGAGCAACATTTGAGCGACTTCCAAACATGAAGTGCCGATTCATAATCAGGATCCCCCCTTCAAAGATAGTGTCCAAGGACAAAATCCCCTAGTTCGGCCCTCAGGGCAAAAGACACCAGAAATAACGAACTAATTCTTTTCGTCTGAAGACAAGAGCATGCTGAATGCTTCCTTTTACCTTGGACACGTAGTTGCAAGTCGGTTCGGCTTGACCTTCCTGAACTTCTGAAAAGCGCATAAGTGACAAATGTGCCTATGATGTGATCCAAACATCCTTGGCAAAGCGCGTGATTCTGTACCTGTTTTGTGTCTGAAAACCTTTCAAAGTGCAAGATGCCACATATCATGTAATACTGGTTTGATTCTTGCCGAGCATAGGGGTAGCAACTGGGACAGTCACTGGCAGCTGAAGTGTTTCACTAGATTTGGGTATCCATATTTTTTTTGCCTCGGGAGGATTCAAGTAAAGACATGTATGGTCATTTTACTTGTAAGACTTTAACACATCTTAAAACAACATTGAGCACACGGTTAAGAAAGAAACTGACGAACATCCCTGAGCCAGCTACCTGGTTGTATCCACTAATGAGAAGGTACACCTTAGCTCACAACTAAACTTGGAGAAAAGACATCATATACTCTCGCCCTTTTGCCTACAGAAGACTTAGACTTGGACATAGGTGACAAGCAATTCCATAAAAGCACGCCGGACTGTTGCTTCATGACACGTCCTTAAGCCAACGTTTTTGGATGGCCAGAACGTTGCTACTCGGGGATTGTTTAGCCGATTGTTTGGTCTTCCTATTGGTTTTGTCTAGCTCCCCGCGAGACGATACAATATATATATATAATATACTTTGTATATCTTTCCTGCTTTCACATGTCCTTAGTTTGTTGCATTGATCTGAAGTATGCTTTACAGCTTGCAAGTTTTAAATTCTACGCGCTCCCAAAAGATAGGCGCCGTTGTTTCCTTTTGCAGCTGAGAAAGACAGCCAAAAAAATGCAACAATTGCATCAGGTTATGTCAGTAGCTACCTAATGTCGGGATAGGGGATATTTCAAACATTGAGATGTTTTGCGCATTTTGTCAAAATCTGTTTCTTTGCCACAATGGTTTTTGAAGCGCTAGGCTTGGCTTGGTCAGATCATGTATTTGGAACTGTTCATGCCAAGGTGCGCAAGGGCAGCATACACTTTCATTGTTGTAAGATTGTAAGATTGCAAGACACGGACCGTAGAGCTGTAGAGGTCAACTAATTTCGCAAGAAACTTGTCTGAACCCCAAGGAAAAACAGTTCCTTTCTCAAACTGAAGATCTGGTAAATTAACTTGCTCGAACAGTGGTCCTCCAATGGCCAACACTAGCGCCCTTGATCCCATGTTGACGTCTGATTCGGAATATACCATAGCGGCAGTGCCACTACTTAAACCTCATTTGGTTGCATCATTCGCAAACATTGCACTAGAAGCCACCCAGCTCAAAGCCATGTAGAAACTGCATTACCGGAAGATGTTTTCGCTGAAACAAGTGAGCCGTAAACATAAACGCGCGAAATTGGAATCAAAGAACAACTGAATTGTTTTCTTGTTTCGGTCGAAATTGGTGACAATCTTGGAAACAAGGTGCTCCTTACAGATTGCAACAAAGTTCAAACTTAACCCCGACATAGCAGCGGTTGGTTTAGCAAGATATTAGCTGTGATTCCACAAAAATAAATGATCAACCTTCCCATGCTTGTTTTCCATTAGGAGAATTGCAAAATCGAAGCTACTACTTAAACATATTCATTGGCCCCCTTCCAGAAGCATGTTTTGATCTCCTTTTTCTTTTCTGGTACGCAGAGGCAAATGGCAAAAGAGGAAAGCCGTCTCTGCGAAGGTATTCTTTGAATAGTAGCGCCGTAATGTCAAGATTATTCCCCTAAACTCTTAAGGCGTCTGAATCATTGAGTCGGGAAAAGCGCGAAAAAGAAGTTGAGTGAATGGACATGGCATTCTGACTTCGTGACGGGGCCTTTTCACGCGGCCGTACTTGATTATGAAATGCGATTGTGAGAGATGTTTTTCGGATTTGATCATTGGATTTGGTCCATGGATGTGACATTTCATAGTGACATACTGGCTTAAACAATTTTGATTGGTATTCTTTTAAACCACATTTTCCTCCGCAGCAACTCCGATCTGCAACCTGGAAAGTTTTCTGCAACCCCTAGGGTTGAATCAACTTGTTAAGGCTAGAAAGCGACTGTGGTTGTGTTTTGAGGAAGCGAGCATTGCACTTTCAAAAAGTAGAAAGCATATAAATAAAACCAAATATAAATGTAAATATTATATATATATATATTATATAAATATATTTTAAAAAAAACTTTGTACAAATGAAATTGCTTACCGTGAGCCCCCAATCACACAAAACGACAAGCACACCATAGTCTTCCCTCAGCCAATTCCTTTCACCGTTGCGTTATGTCTCCTTCAATTTTGCAGATATTTTTTTCGGAATTACGCACGTTGAACTATAGAAAACGCAAACGAAGCGGCGCGTGCAGCGTGCCTGTTGTCTTTGAACCTATTCCCTCAAGGGAAATCGGGGCGTGTTAGGGTTGGAAGCATGCATAATGTGTTTCAGTCTGTTGCTTTTAACTATTCTATATTCAGCAGGGCCAAATGTATTTCCACCAGCCCATAGTTTGCTTTTTCTTCAGCAACAATGCCAGCGTAATTGTGTTGACTAAAGCGCTAAGGTCTTTTGTGTGTCTCTGCCTATTTGTTTCAGTTGTAACATTGAGTGAGCATCGGACATCGCGCAATGTTGGTACAATGTTCGTACGGTGTTTTTACAATGTTCATACAATGTTCGCACAATGTTCGTACAATGTTCGTACAATGGCAAAAAAAGTTCGTACAATGTTCGTACAATGCCCCACTAAAGTTCGTACAATATTGTACGAACTCTTCGGCCATTGTACGAACATTGTACGAACTTTGTGTGCGCAGCATCCTGCCAATCAATGTTCGGTGGTACATCAAAAAATGCCAGCAGACAGGCCCAAGCATCTTACAGTGATTCTGTTATTTTTCCGGTTGTATACTTGATAATGAGATAGTCACTTTTGTATTGGCATTCCTTTGGCCAGCAGCGCGTGCAAGACTGGGCATGCGAGACCTGATGTGTATGCTGTACACAGTTCCAAGAAAACAGTCCTATCGATGAGTGTACCAAGCGATGCAAGTAAGGCCAAGACAACCCGGCTCTTTTGATATAATCTGACAGGGGAAACCAGTAACAACATGTTGTAGAGCAAAGGCGTGCTTTCACCCTTTTCCGTCAACAACCATATGCTTTTGGATCTTGGATTAGGTATTCAAGCTTCTTACAGGTCTATAAATTGAGCAGCCATTGAGGCAATCAAGTATTTCAACACTGCAAGGTTGAAACTAACTGTATTATTTTTCGGTTGTGAAGGTTGGGATATCCAATTTCAAATATGCCCCCATTGAAACGCAACCCCAGGCATCGATTGATAAGCTTCAAAGCAAGTGGTTTGGCGTCCTGCACAAAGCATTGCTAGTTTCGTGTTGGCACATGTTGAATCAAAACAATTTCGTGTCCCACTACATGCCGAAATAGGCGCAACACATTGTTGACCTTTCGCTGCGCAGACAAACGTTACACAAAATTGCAAGTACAACTACTATTTAAAACTGATATGTTTTGATGTACACAGTCATTTGTTATACGAACTATACACACAGATATATATATATACACGTTTGCACACACACACTATATATATATATATTGAGTAATAATGATAATAAAATAACAGCAATAATAATAACAATAATAATTGTAATAACAACAACAATAATAATAGTAATAATAATATGGAGCGTTTCTTGTAATGTTGGATACTGGTTCGCATGTTCAAAGCAACAATTCTGCATGACCTCAAGCATTTGCCCATGAAGATGCTTGAGGGCCAACGACAGCCCAGGGAAACTTGGAAAAGGGCACATCTATCTACATATGCCGCTTCGAGCGTAGTTTCTGAAAAGCGCAACTGAACTAAAATATGTTCACGCGCCGTCAGTTCATTGCAAGAGTAAATCAGGCATCCCTTTTCACAAATTATATACGTTTTCTGCGGCCTTAGTCGTACGATATCGTTAATTAAAGGTGAAAGTCCCAGCATGAGTCTTTTGAATGTAATTGTTTGGTTCGTACAATGCGATAGCTTTTCTGATGTGTACTGCCTCTGTATGACTGAAACAAGCAAGGGAAACACACAGGAAAAAACACAGTCCGGAACACAAACTCGAAACCAGAAATGCTTTGGGTCGTACAGGAGTTCAACTCCAATCAAGATTCACAAAAAAATCAAGAACTGGTTGTGGCAGGTTCCTACCTTGGGCTGGTGTCAAACATGGATCTTTAGACTTTGCGAAAAGGAAATCTGCCATGAACCTTTCTTTTACCATGTTTTTTTTGGTTTGGTTGTAGTTTGGGCTTGATGACTATAGGTTACACAGGCTGCTGTGCAAGACTTTCCTTGTACAACTTTCAACGATTGTGCGAACATGTCTAAATATCAACAGTAAAGCAATTATCGGAGGATAACAATTTCAATCCAGAAGCAACGAAACATATTCGAAAACTGTGCTATACACTGGTGACAACGGAATCTACCAGCTGAAACGTTCCGGAAACATGGGCTTGGCTATATCCGTGCAATATACTTGCAACAACCAATTTAGATCAGCAATCAATCAATAACCCCAAAGTAGCAAACCCATTCGCACAAAACTTTTGCTGATACTTTGCACTCAGTGTTGTCAACATTGAACACGTCGGATCAAACCTTTCTGGTGCTAAAATTTTGGTTCAGTGTCATCGCGCAGATTGATTGCCAGAGAATACTTCAAAGATAGAAGTTGGCTGGTCAGTTCGCAGAAACCTTTCCAAAGCAACAAAAATTGCTTTGATTTTTTGATATCTGCTTGCTGAACATTGCGTTTATTAAGAATGCATTGCAGAAGTGACATTGCGCTAGGACATGTCTTATTTTGCATTGGCTTGGGAAGGTACAAACGAAAATACACTTCGCACATCTTTGCACTAACAACTGGGACATGCTTGCATGTGGAAACATAAAAAAGGACAAACACCAGTATGGCGCAGGATGATGCCAAAGTCGTTCACAAGCTGTACGTTTGACCACGTCTGTTGTCCTGATTTGGGATCACAGATCGTTACCTGTGTAATTTCTTTCCCTTAAAAGTTCGAGTATCAAGTTTTTGCCCCCACACCCTGGACTGCCCCAACAGAATCCCAAGCCAAGCAGCCAAACCTTAAAGAACCATGTTTTTGTCGATGCTGCTGGAGACTCTAATCATCAGTCTTTTCTATTGGCGCACAGTTGGTGAAAAGTACTGTATGATTTACGACGATAAAGATACCTATCGGACAGAAAAAACTCTATAGCCTTGCAATCTCATATTCGTAAGGGATAGCGTCATAGCGTGTTCATTGCCACTTTCGCTGCCAACAAAAATATATTTGGCATTGTCTGGTCTGTGAATGTGTAGGGCAGCACAGGATCTCAATTTACTTTGCGGATATCTCCGAAAATGGCACCGACGCTTGTTCACTAGGTTGTTTTTAGTTCATATATCTATACGTTCTGGTTTCTGTGATGTTCTGAAGATGCGTATCATGTTTTTTGACAATCTATGATTCATAAATCGCGGCCTGATAGGCATTTTCTTAGGTCAGGCTAAGGATGTTGAGAAAGGTGGACATCAGTGCACAACTGATAGTACAATATCTGATCGTTAGATGTCCTCAGTAAAAGCGGCTCATTTCATGATCATACTAGTTTTAAAGGCCCTTCAAATAGGTTTGCAAATCTGTTGGCCTCATGGGTCCAAGCTGTTGCTTTTCCCAATGATAGGAAGAATGGGGTTTGATGCGGTATGATGCGGTCTGGTGCTGTGCAGCCCCCATTCTTCTGAAATAATTTTTGCTGCCCGCACCACCGCGACTTGTTTGAAAACGGTATCTTTTGTAGAATTTAGATTAAGACCAGGTTATTTTTTGGATAAACATAAAAAACTTAACCTTTTTGGTGGGGGCAATTTTTGCCACCGCGCACATATCTAGTCGTAACCCCAAATCGGCTCAACGCCGTCAGTAGAATATAATATGTTACATTATGTATATATATATATATATGAATGAATTCCACTGTAAAAACCAGCCAGGCTCCTGCAACAAAATCCTCTCTGCAGTCAAGCTTCCGACAACAAGAGGAGACCCACCTTCCAATGCTTTTGATCTTTCGCGCTGATTGCGCTATTGTAGCCTCACACAGTTAGCAGAAGCTCAATGTCCATCAATGTCCCACTTTGTGTTCAAATATGCCAATCATACCTCTACTCCAACATACTCCAACAAAGAAAGACACGGAGAGGGCATTTCAGGATTTTCACATGACGCCCAAGCAGCTGATCTGGTCCAGCTTCACCTCATTTATTGCCATGTGCTGCAGCACTTGTGATGACATTCGCCACAGTGAGGCAGCACCGCAACTACGGATGCTGCTGCTGCAACCGACAACATCCGGAGTCAGCTGGCTGGAGGCTGCCCAGCATAGGAGATGTAGGGAGAGCGGCCACCCGCAGCGAGAAATGGCATCATTGCACTGCCAAAGTAACAACTCCACTGACTGCTTCTGCAAGTCCTGGCAGTGTTCCCATTTTGCGAAAGAACCCAAGGCTTCTGCAAATGTAAATAAATGATAATAAATGTAACCTAGTGATGCACTTTTAAGCGCCCGATGGCAGTTAAACGTTTTGCGCCTGAGTTGATTCTACTACTAGTTTCACTGCCCCAGCAAGAACATCGCTTCGTACCACCCCTATATACCCTATCCCTTATCACTCACTATCACTTCAATCAGCACCTTCACAGGATACAAATGTGGGTTCTCTCACCATACAGAGTCTAATTCTCGGAAACCAATAATAAATATGGCAATACATTTGACTTGGCACTAGAACAGACAAGATCAGCATGTCTATGTAGTCGAAGTCACCTAGAAGCTCGAATATGGCACGCACTGCCACAAGCACACCAAATAGCCCTACTGGAATGCTGTTTACTGGTGTCTTTGGTTCATGAGGTTTCCCTCTCCTGAAGATGCTTCAATGGGTTCAGAACCATCTGCGGCTGTCACTGCAAGACCCATAAAAATTCATGCGCTTCATGGGATGGCAAGGAATGTCAGCCACCGCGATCACTTGGACATCTTGGACTATGAGATCGGTGTGACTCGCGCTTTAAGATGCCTTGTTCTGTTTGACTTGCGATGATCCCAGGAATTGTCGGGCTCGGCTTGACTAGATGGACTCCCCTGTTGTCTTTGTTGTTGGAATAGGCTGCACAGCTGCAAACAATCTACTTACATTTGCGTGTTTGATTTTTACACGAAGACTTACCTGGATTTACCTGGAAGCAACGGGTAGGAAGCGCATGCAAGCATCTTGTGCAGCACCAACATCTGTTCTTCGTCTTAGCGTCTCCATCCAAGGCCAAAATTCGCAGCGCTTCTGACTAAATGTACCAACTTCTCTATTGTTCTATGCTCATACTCCAAGAGTGTTGAGAAGGTGAGGTTGAATCGATCGAATTTCCAAGTTTCCCTCCCCCAAAGCCATCTTTTTCTAACAGGGCGCCAAATGCGCCGAAGACCAGGCACTAATGACTATTGCCAGTGATGCGTGCCTTTGTTTCAATGCGAACTGGTACCAATAATACAACCGAATGCAAATTTTGAATATGAGTATATTGTGTACAGTACATAATATGTATATGCATGTATATAATATATCAAAGAGCTTGACGCCGCGTTGGTTGTTTCAGTGGGCCAAAGCAACTCCCGGCAGTTTCTTGTGATTACTGCGGCTTGCATCACTGGATATAGCAAATTGTCCTCTTGTCGACTGCCTGGCTTGTCGACTGGCAAGGGGAATTAGTAGCAACAGCTCTAAGATCCGTGCAGGAAAATGGATCAGCGGCTGCCAGACTACACGAACCATTCAATTAGAAGTCTCAATGAGCTCTGACTGGTGATTTTTGGTCCTGAGGCTTGCCTAGAAACTCGTTCGCTTTCAGTGAGGAGGCATTTTGCAAAAGTCAATCTTGACTGCTTCTGTTTCCAGAGTGTCAACTGCGGGCTTCAGAGGGGCTGAAACTCACAGCTGGCAGCCGCGCATCACAGCTCGTTGCAGCTAAAGTTTAGCAGCTAAAGCTTTTGCCAGCGCGGCGCAGCAACATGTCGAGGTTTGAGGTGCAAAAGCAGCGATCCTCTGGGAGGAGACAGCTTTTCTGCCATCACAAAGTGCTGAAAGTGCATCAAGGCATGGAGATTCACAAGATCAAAAAATGAATTGGCATGGTCCCTCAGACTCTGGTAATCAAGAATGGCAATGGAAAATTCCTCATTTATATATATATATATATTGTATATATTATATTATATATATAATATATATATATTATATTATATATTGTATATATATATATTATATATATATATCATTTCTATAGATGCTTCACCGTACGAATTATATAATAAATTGTAGTAGTGTTCCTAGCTATGTTCAATGACTAGAGGATACCCCAGGAATCTTGCTCTTCTCTGCCACTGAACTTCCTGAATCCCTGCAATGTGTCACGTTCAACAGATTCGCCAGGTCCCGGCTTGCAATCTGGGAAGAAAAAACGCAAGAATTCTATTGCAATTGCTGTTCCACTTGGTGAAGGTAGCCAGCAGGTGAAAGTGTTACCCAAGAAAAGTGTGATGGACACGAACTACGTTGGAACCTGAAGGAGGAATTTGAACTGTGAAGCATTACCCATGTTGACCCATGTAAAATTCTGAGGTCCACCTTTGACCTACAACACGAGTCGTCTTCTCCAATGATCTTACATCAAAATATCAAGCAACTGTCAACCACTCAAACCAAATCTGACCAGTTGCAAATGCAAAGGCTACAGTAGTGGCTTTCAGCTCAGATTAGCTGCGCCGCAGCCAAAGGATCGTTGAAGTTGCTAAATAAAAATCATGGCGAGCCAAGCGGAACGGACTGCAGACTATTGCTGCAAAGAGTGTGCCATTGAAGCAAAATAAATTAGTGGAGTCCGAAAGGGACAAGCAATTACCAGCCAAGCTGCTAAACTAGTCAGTTATTCCCTGTTCTGTTAGAGAATTGTAGTTGTCCAACGACCGCTGATTTACTGACAATAGATGCTCCCAACCTCGTCAGCTATGTACACGACATTGAACCGTAGTGGAGTTGTCAGAAGGCAAAGCGTCTGCAGCACAACCACAAGGCAGCCATGAGTCATTTCACCCCCAAATAAACGAGGTGGCCAAGAGTCTTTTAGACGACTTGGCAAAAAAAATACGCCAGATGCAAAACATCTGGGTGCGGGGTGCAGGACTACAATGCATGATGCCTCTTTTACAGATTGGCAGCATTATCGTCGACATAACTTGCATCTCAGCATGTGCAAAATGGAATTGCTAAGTTTTTGCGGAAAAAAATGATGAAAATGACTCATTTGTGGTTTCGACCCATCCCAAACACATTAGTCGGGAATCATCTTCCCGTGTTCATGAGAAATATTGGAAAGCGCCCAGCATCTATAAGAATCTGCTGCATATCCATTTATATCCTCTTTGATCGGTCAACTCCTCACTGAGTCCCAAGGATGGTTGGTATGTGATTAAATGCTTATATGCGATTCCGTGTAATTAAGAATGATGTCTTGGTGCAACTTGAGCTATAAAGCGCCTTCCCCTGCATGTGGGGTCCGTCCTGCAACAAATACAACACACATGAATTGTAAAAAACAATCACTTATTGACCCAACATTCCTCACAAGCTCTTGCTAGATTCTTGAGCACTATTGCAGGCACTTTGGGATGTGGAGAACCCACGGGCAGGCCTGCTTGCAAAACAAAAAAACTGGACATGTTCAAGAACCCTTCAAACCCTGAAACCAAGTAAAGCCTTTGGATTTCATCCGTGTTCAAAGAGACTTGTCATGGAAGCAGTTGGAAGAGTGTTTTGAATCCAAGGAGCTGCCATATCGTTTGCCTCGGAGATTCCCTGAGTGCATCTTTTGCGGATCGATCTTGCGTGCTTGGCACGCGATCCAACAATCTCTGCCTGATGTGTTTGACGTCCCCGCCAGCATGCGCAAATGAGTGGCTGATTGGTTGGGATTCCCATCATGGCTTACAAACAATTATCATTTGCCTGGGAAAACAAAAAACATAGAACCACCAAGCAACAAGGTTTTTGAGCTGCAAACAAGGTTGCTGCAGGCGAGACAAAAGCAAATGATACGAGCTGTCAAAATGTATCTTGTGAAGCAAGCTCAAGGCTATAGCTTATCGTTATGGGAGGTGCGTCATGTTGCAGCGTTTCTTTAAAACCAAATTAACGGTATATATTTGTTTTTATATATATATATATACATGTGTATATATAAGGTTTCGGCTGTAAGTGTGTTTGGAGGGAAGCTTTTCCCCCCCTCCTTCACACAGCACCGTCCTTAGCCGGCTTGCCACGGCCGGCGGGCTGCTTTCGTTGGGCTTCTTCGAGCTTCTTCGACTTGCAGCCTTGTGCTCTCACTGCACCGTGCAGGCAGTGATCACCTTTGCTCATTGTGGGTCTCTTTGAGCGTGGCATTGCAATTTCCTTGGCTTTACACTAGCTGCCATTAGATTGGCCTACTGTATTAGCTGGACTTTGTCATCAAGCTCGGGTTTTGCATATTCCGAGTTCTATAACATCCCTTTATTTGGACTCCTCTTGGGGCCTGCACTACAGGTTGATTTTTCCCTGCCTTGCTCCCCTTCTTGGATTTCAACAATTTTGCGAACTTTGTCAACAAGCTGTACCGTGAGGAGGCTTGCTTGTGAATGTGGTTGGTCCTTGTCTTGTTGGTTTTTACCTTTGCCAACGACGATGCATTGCAGTTGCGGCCGCCTCAACGGCAAACGCCACACGCACTGCCCCTCTTGCAAGGGGCATTGGAGCGCTGGCGTTCCGCACAGCAACGAGCCGAAGAGCCCTCGTACGTACCAGGGCACAGCCGACTACAATGCAGGTTGGGACTGGTCAGAGACTGGACAAAAACAGTCCAGAAAAGGCAGAAAGAACCAGAGATGGAGGAGCGAGAGTGCCAAAAGGGGTGGAAAAGGCAAGGGGAAAGGCTACAAGGGACAAGATGCTATGACGCCATCACCCTTCGCGCAGCCTGCACCGCCAGCCATTCCCCCTTGGCCCTCACCGGAAACCAGCTCTGCACAGCAGCAGGCCCCAGTTGTCCCAGCTGCCCATTCAGCCCATCATGCAGAACTTCTATCAGCTGTCAGGAAACACTATCCGGATCTCTCACAAGCACCGGAAGACATTCAGAAGGCAGTCGACAAGTCAGAGA